TCACAGAACCGTCGAGGAAGGCCTGGGCGGGAGCCCGGAGCGCAGTGCTCGACCCGCTGCCACTTCCCGGGAAGCCGCCTGGACAGGGCAGCGAGCGTGAATGCGCTGTACTTCTTCGTCCTGGAGACGAGTGGAAAGCGAAAGCCCGTTCTCTCTTCCTCGTCCCTCTCTCCCATTGTCCTGACGTGGGAGTGTCCTTCCCGACGACACAGGCCCGCACACGCGTGTGTTCACACCGTCCTTGCTGACAACACCGGTGCTGCTTACACATTCACCCCCCCCCACGCAGCTCACACGTTTCTCCTTTGTTTCTCCTTTGCCTCTAGGATGCGCTATCACGCCACACGCGGGGGGCCCGGGGGGTACTCCCAGAGCGGGGGCCGCTTCCGGAGCCGCGTCGCCCTGGTGGGGGACACCGCGCACAACAACGCCTCCGTCCTGCTCCAAGAAGCGCGGGAGTCCGACACAGGAAGCTACACCTGCAGCATCCACCTGGGGGACCTGACTTTCAGGAAAACCTTTGAGCTGCACGTGATTCAGAAAGAGCCCCGAGGTGTGTAGCCTGTGCTGGGGAGCGGGGTGGGGGGGGGGGCTGGTTAGCAGGACCAGGGCTAGCGAGGCCCGGGGCTCGCAGGTGCTACCCCCGTACTAGCACGGCCCTGAGGCTGGTGCCTCTTTGGTTTTTTTTTGTTGTTGTTGTTGTTGTTTTTTAAATATATTTTATTGATTTTCCACAGAGAGGAAGGGAGAGGGATAGAGAGTTAGAAACATCGATGAGAGAGAAACATCGACCAGCTGCCTCCTGCACACCTCCCTCTGGGGATGTGCCCGCAACCCAGGTACATGCCCTTGACCGGAATCGAACCTGGGACCTTTCAGTCCGCAGGCCGACGCTCTATCCACTGAGCCAAACCGGTTTCGGTGGCTGGTGCCTCTTTGAATGTGGTGCCCTGGGCAGCTTGGTGGCCTCACCCTAGTTCTGGCCTTGCTGGTCGGTCAGTGAAAAGGAGCCAATACGTTCAGGGAGCCCGGCCCGCTGCCAGGCCTCCCCGTGGCCAGCGCCGTCTGCCAGCTTAAAGGTCTGGGCCGCAGGTGGACTGGAGTTGAAGTTCAGACCATTTTGACTGTGTGCTCTGGGGTGGAGGGTGAAGGGACCCTGAGCTGGTGGGAGCAGCAAAGAACAGAGAAACAGGAAGGCACCA